AGGGGCCCCCCAGCTGGTCGGCAGGCCACAGGGTCCCCGCCGATCAGCTGAAGCCTTGTGTAAATTGGGCAGGAGGAAGGGAGAGGGATGGCCAGGTGGGTGGTCACTCTTGGGGGTGGGGCTCAGGGCGGGGTTTAGGAACATCCCCACCCACCCCCAAAATGCCCCCAGATCCCCCCACCGGAGCGATGAGGGGACCTAGCAACCCTAATGGTTTTCAAGGCAAGAGATAAACAGAGGGGATTTGCCATTGCATGCCTCAGCACTGGAATTTGTTGGTGGTTTCCCGTTCAAGTACTAACCAGGGCCGACACTATTTAGTTTCTGAGATCTGACAAGATTGGGCTAGTCTCTGGATCATCCAGGTCAGAGCATAAATAAAATAAACAAAAATACAGATATACACCCTGAACGTTCCATGTGAGTATGATCACAGGTGGGTCAGAAAGAATATTGAACATGAATATATTTTTAAACGTCCTAATGGACTTAGTACAGTTCCACAGGCCCTGTAAGACAGAGATGTTCCAACAGGCCTATGGTTGAAGACAGCAACGGTTTCCACCATGCCTGGCCCTCCTTCTATGATGCTTCCATGATGCCATCTCTCTCTCTCTCTCTCTCTCTTTCATCTGCCCCCCCCCCCATGGGGCAAGAGTAGGAAATTGGTTTTAGCGCCATCCGCAAATTGTCTATTGACCTGATTATATTTTATTGAAACGTTGTAAACTGCCCCGAACCAACATGTGGGGGAGGGCAGTCTATTAATTAATTACTTGTCCTAATGATATTGATACTATACAATACCAAAAATGTGAAGAAGCGTTCCAGACTGGCCTAGATATCCAAAGTAACAAAATATCTAAAGTTGTTAGAGATCTTGTGAATATCAGAGAAAAAACGGTGGGGTATAAATATTTGAATCGAGGTATTCTATAAGCATTTGCTGGAGGATGACATTGCCTGAAGTACACAATTTCCTTTCTGCTGATATATCACCCCCACCCCTGATGCTCAGGGAAATGGGGGGGAATTCTCTCTCTGACTTCAACTTGATTGTTTTGTTATGCTTCTTTGGCCAATCTATATTCTTTCAATCTTCTCTCTTTTTATTCTCCTCAGACCATTGCACAGCACAATTCTATGGCCGAGAATTCATCACCACTCTCATGGAAAATTCCAAAGCCAATCACTCCTCTGAATCAAGCTTCCAGCTGTTCATTACCGGTTACCATGAGTCTACCAGAGTCAACGTGAGAATGAACAAATCTCCATACCGGAAAAGTTATTCACTTACAAATGGAAACATGATGCCTGTGGAGATCCCAGAGTCTGCAGAAGTGAGAGGCAGCAACACATCCGATCACTCCATTCTCATTCAAGCAGAAAATGACATTTCTGTTGTCTTAGTGTACAGAAAGTCACGTTCAATGGAAGCCATGACAGTATACCCAGCCCAAGAGCTTGGCACAGTATATTATGTGGTAACCCCATCTAGGAGCAAATCAGACCAATCCATAAAGGAATTTGCAGTCATAGGGTGGCAAGTTCCCACAACAGTTGATGTTCATTTAAAAGGTGCTGTTACGTTCAATGGACAGTCACATCGTGCAGGAAGCATACTCCGTGTTTCACTCAAGGCTCTACAGGTCATCCAGCTCCAAAGCTTGGATGATCTGACTGGGACCATGATCAAGTCAGCGAATCCTGTGGCGGTGTTGAGCGGGAATGCCTGTGTTTCAAAAAACTCATACTGTGATCATGTTGTCGAGCAGCTTCTGCCAGTCTCTGGCTGGGGTACTTCATTTATTGTTCCCCCCATCTTCTTCCAAACCAATCCAGACTTCACATATGTGGTTGCAGCCCAAAAGACCCATATCAAGTATCAGCAGGGGACTCGAAAAAGATCTCTGAACATGGTGGCTGGGGAAGTCAGGAAGTTTGACGTCAGATTCCCTCTGGCACTTTACATCTCTGCCGATGCTGGAATCCAGGTCCTTTTCTTCTTCACTGGCATCAACAGCACAAAGAGGGTCTTTGATCCATTCCTTATCAATATCCCCGCCATAACAAGCTATGGCCAATTTTACCACATTGATGGGATAAGCGGCTTTGAGAATAGTGCCATTCTCATAGCAAAAAGTTCTGCAACGCTCAGCATTACTAAAGATAAGCAGCCTATCCATGACATTCAGTGGAGACCAGTTCCTGGGACGCTCTATTCATGGGGCACATACAACTTGGAAGCAGGAGCACAGTCACTGTCCTTAGAGCATCCTGAAACTCCCTTCGGTGTCTTGGTCTTCGGTGGAAAAAAGTATGAAGGCTACGGTTTTGCTCCCCCACCTCTTCCCTTATCTGGTAATTAATTCCATTGGTATAGACAGACTGTTATTCTTGTTCCCAGCATCTGCACATAACGTTTCTATCGTCTAAGAGGTATTATGGCCTTGTTGGGGGACAAAAACGTGCTAGATGATTGGTTGTTATAACTGCACATATATCCCCAGTGTTCCTCCTCATTTGTGAGGCTGTGGATGTATTTGAGGTTATAAAGGCTAGCCTCCCTTTGTGGAAAGGTGAAATGGAAACCTATGCTTGCCTGACAATGCAATCCTATACAAAGTTATTCCAGTGTATTCCCATTGACTTCAATGGACTTGGACTAGCGTAATTCTGCAAAGAATGCCGTAAGTGTTGTATGTAGCTAGGATGTAGGAAGCGAAATACTATGGCCAAGTAACTGACAAGAAACCCTTAAGGAAATCTCTATTTTAAATTCCAAATTTTGAATCTGAAACAGAAAATTCTAGAATTTATTATTTGATATATCCTATATCCTATCTTTCTCCCATTGTGGAATTTATGGTGGCCTTTACCCTGTGCGAGTGGAGCTGCGGTGGCTCAAGTGGTTAAGATGCTGAACTGCAGGCTGTGGAAGGTCAGTAGTTCAGCAGTTCAAGACCCGGGTGCCGCAAGACGGGGTGAGCTCCTGTCTCTAGTTCCAGCTCCTGCCAACCTAGCAGTTCAAAAACAAGAAATTGCAAGTAGATAAATAGGTACCACTTCGGGGGGAAGGTAACAGCGTTCCGTGTGCCGGCCACATGACCACGGAAATGTCTTCGGACAGCGCTGGCTCTTTGGCTTTGAAACGGAGATGAGCACCGCAACCCTAGAGTCGGATTCGACTGGCTTTCGAGCAAGGGAACCTTTACCTTTACCTTTACCCTGTGCAGGCACTGACTAGAACCATATCTGCTTAGTTTTTATCATGTACTTTCCAGCCCATCCCTCTGCACAGAAATTAACTTGAAATCAAGCCCACAAACACTGATAATAGTGTCTTGAATTATGGTCAGCAGTCTTCTCAAAGTATGCCACGGCACAACAGTAAAGAACTGCAAAATCTTTGCAAATGCCTTTGTTAGTGAAGATAATCTTTATCCATGTGTTATGCATGCTGTATAACAGGAGGCACATGAGTACTTAATAAAAAGGTGAAACTGCCTTATACTTAAGAACATAAGAACATAAGAGACGCCAATGTTGGATCAGGCCAAAGGCCCATCCAGTCCAACACTCTGTGTCACACAGTGGCCAGAAATACCAGTGCCATCAGGAGGTCCAGCAGTGGGGCCAGGACATTAGAAGCCCTCCCACTGTTGACCCCCCCAAGCACCAAGAAGACAGAGCATCACTTGCCCCAGAGCCCCTAGCTATACCTTGTGGCTAATAGCCACTGATGGACCTCTGCTCCATATGCTTATCTAATTCCCTTTTGAAGCCGTCCATGCTTGTAGCACCCACCACTTCCTGTGGCAGTGAATTCCATGTGTTAATCACTCTTTGGGTGAAGAAGTACTTCCTTTTATCCGTTCTAACCCGACCGCTCTGCAGTTTCATGGAGTGCCCACGAGTTCTTGTATTGTGAGAAAGGGAGAAAAGTACCTCTTTCTTTACCTGCTCTTTCCCATGCATAATCTTATAAACCTCGATCATGTCACCCCTCAGTCGTCTTTTCTCCAAGCTAAAGAGCCCTAAGCGCTTTAACCTTTCCTCATAGGGAAAGTGTTCCAACCCTTTTATCATTCGAGTTGCCCTTTTCTGCACTTTTTCCAAAGCTATAATATCCTTTTTAAGGTGTGGTTCCATATTGTTCTCCTCTGATGGCCAAAGGTTCTCCAGTGCCTCCATCAAAGAAAAGTTCTGCTACCTAATATCCTTTTAAAATGGGAATGGCGGGGAACCTGAGTCCTTCTGCATGCTAAGCATGTACTCAACTAGTAAGCTATGGCCCTACTCAGCCGTAAAATATGTGTCAACATTTGGGAATCACATTGATTGAGGATTAACAAGTCTAATGGAAGCAGGCAATTTGGGGCTTTGGAGGAAATCTGCAGGACTCATGAAGTTGGGGTCCTGAAGATTTGGAAAGGGCTAGGCTGCACCACTTGGAGATATGATGTTGCTGGCCTTGATGAGGGCCTCTTTGTTAGCTCCTTTCCACCCCCCTCTTCTTTTTACTTGGCACAGGGTGCAAAGCGAGGCACTTCGATATGGTGATGGTGATCGATGGCTCCGGGAGCATCGGGGCTGAAAACTTTGAGCTGGTGAAACAGTTTGTGAATCGTATTGTGGATTTCCTGGAAGTGTCCGCTCATGGCACCCGAGTAGGTTTGGTCCAGTACGCCAGCTCACCGCGCACTGAGTTTCCACTCAACAGATACACGACGGCAGCAGAGATCAAGGCAGCGGTGCAGAGAGTACAGTACCTGAAAGGTGGCACCAGGACAGGCCTGGCCCTTAAGCACATGTTGGAACAAAGCTTTTCCACGCAGGAAGGTGCCAGACCTCCTTCCAAGGATGTTGGCAGGATTGGCCTGGTCTTCACCGATGGGCGGTCTAATGATAATGTCACAGAATGGGCCAGAAAAGCAAAGGAATCAGGTGAGGGTGCCGCAAAGAAATATTTGCTGTGTGTAGTAGAACACATATGTGCAGAATGGGAGCAGTGTTCCTAGCAAACTTGCTGCAGATAGAAGTGTCAAATAAATCACTGAAAATTGGTAGCCCGACTCTCCCCTTGTACATATTCAGTTATTCATGGTACCACATCTCTTAATGAACATTTCGAGGAAAATGTCTAGAGGAAGAGGACTAGGTTTATCATTTCTTTTATTTTTCCTTTGTTCAATAGTAGACACTATTCTTTTTCTCCCTGCACATTTTTCCTCTTTGCAAACAACGGCTTTAATGAAAAGTGGTGTTAAAGTTTCCTTTGGATTAAATTAATTTTTTCGTATCTTGTTAATTCTGTCTCATATAAAAAACCTAAGCTTATTCCACATTACCCATGGGGCAAGGGATGCCTAAGGTTGCGAACTCAGGCTTCAAAAATCCCTGGGGATTTTTTTGGGGGGGAGGTGTCTCATGAGGATGGAATCTGGGGAGGGGCGAGATCTTAAGAGGTCTGTGAAGTCATAGAGTCTGCCCTATGAAGCTCCCGTTTCCTCCAAGGGAATTGATTTCTATAGTCTGGAGATCCCTGCAGTTCTGGGTCAACTCCATGCCCCACCTTGAGGTTGGTAGCCCTTGAAATGAGGGCAAATCAATCCTCTGCTGCTTTATTTGAAAGGGTTAAGACAGACAGTTTTAATTTCCAGATGGACTATATGGGCACCTCTGTACAAGCTTCTGGTAGCAGCAGTGGCTAGAGGATCTTAAGTCTGGTTGCAAGTGCTAGAATCAGGCAGGAGAACACCTCATGGGGGCCTAGTTACAGGGCCAGCTGGATATATCCCCCACTCTTCTGTGGCACCTGCAGTGCTCGTTTGACCACAGACGACATTTCAGACTTCCCTGCCAAGATCTTTCTGCCAGTAGTATATGAATCCGTAGCACTGGCAGTCCAAGCAGCATTCATGCTCAGAGACACATCTCATAGAGACGTAAATTTTGGTCCGTTGTCTGCTGTCTGGTCTGCAGGGATTGTCATGTATGCAGTTGGCATTGGCAAAGCTGAGGAAAAGGAACTGCGGACCATTGCCTCCGAGCCCGTGGATGAGCACTTTCTATACGCGGCCGATTTCAAAGCCACAGAAAAAATTGCCCTGAAGCTCAAATCCAAGATCTGTGATGGTGAGTGGTTGATGCAAACTTGGAGAGGTGATCCTCAGTGTTATATTTAAACTTGTATAAGGTCTTTTGCGAGAAGCAAAAAATGTTGCTGCCTTATCTCTGGTCGTAAGCCCTTGGATGATTTTGTTTTGTTTTTAACCTTGAAGTTCCATCTTCCAGCATTTCAACTGTCTTCATTTAGCTAATTTCCCCCTAGGCATTGTGCAAAAGTGAACTCAAGTAAAATGACTGCCTCATAGGGTTGCCAGGTACCTCCATCAAGCGGGCAAGGGATGGGGGGGGGTGCATTCACCAGGCGGGAAGGAAGAAGAAGCAGGAAGAAATAAACGTGACATGCCTACATCACTTCCAGGTGACATAGGCACGTCAGGGGCAACTCTATGGTAGAATCAGTTTCAAACCATAGATTTTTGCCCAAAAACCAGAGCATTGCTGCCCTCCCCAACATCACCAATGTGCCTGTGTCATTTCCAGGTGACGCAGGCATGACACGCTTACTTTCAGTTTTTTGCCTGTTTGGGGGTGGGGTAATTTTCCCCGGTTTCTGATAGTCCTGTAGTGGGGGCAGAGGCTTCAAACCGGAGAATCCCTCACCCCCAACTGGGGACAGTCAACCCTATTGCCTCACCTCAACATACAGAAAGTGCTCAGCTGGGTGATCAACTACCCTCTGGCTGAAGTCCAAAAGGGCACTTTCCGGAAAGTCGTTCCCACTTAATAATCTTAGACCTGCTTCTGAAGAGACCTGTTTAGGATTGCTCCCTAAAAGTTGGCATTGACTTCACAACTAGATATAGTACGTCCAGCATTTTGTCAGCGGCATTATTCTATTTTAGAAAGAAGGAGGCCTGATAGGTTGCATTTGATGGTATAAAACATGTTTTATGGTGTAAAAGGTGCCGTTCCTCTGTGGAAAGTTAAAAAGAAAAATGGTGCTCTCTCTCTGAGAGTCTTAAAAAAATTAATTACATTTCTGTCCCAATTTTCTTCCATTATGGAACTCAAAGTGGTTTACACCACATCTGGACCATGACCAAACCCATGGACTGGATCTAGACTAAGTTTTCTACTAATAGAAGAGACTTCCATGAGTAGCACAGAAGCTTCCTGCCTCCTTTCTCCTACTTCATTTCACTGACCTGCCCCAAATGCTGCTTCTGGGGGACATGGGATCCTCAAAAATGGCATGAGGGGGAAACTGGAGGTGCAATGGCAAGAGGGAGTTGGTGGGAATTCTGCTTCCCTTCCATTAGCAGAAAATTTAACCTAGATCCTGTCAGTATTACGCGGTGTTAGCCCACAGCAGACCAAACATGGGTGCAATGGTATCCAATAAAGACTGGAGTCTCTCAGGCTTATGTACAAATAATATACAGTTTATTATACAAGCCTCTCACCAAATCTTTACACTGAGTGACGTAATGCTCCGCTGCGCTCGCATTCCAAGAAGGAATGAACAGTTCTGTACATCACTGAATATATACAACCACTGGCCAATCACAGCCAATGCTGAGTCACTGTGACTCAGTGCTAATTAGCTCCAGCAGTAGCCAGCTAGAACCAGTCAGAGCCAGCTCTTATTACACTTAGAGCTGTCAGCTCCTGTCAGTTAGATGCCTCAGATCTACAGCATGACTTAACACTATACATAGAATACTGACAGATCCAGCCCTGTATCACCTTAGAGTTTGCAAGTTCGCAATTATTATGCTTGCATGCAATTTTTTTCTTGGTATCCCTCCTTCTCCTGCACTCAGGAGCTAAATCAAGGTACCTGAGTTCCTTAACCAGGCCTGTAGCTAACAACATTTTGCTCAGGGGGCCCATGTTTTTCTCAGGGGGCCCACCACCACCTGCTACTAAAATACCGCACTTTGTGCCATCGTGCCCCGCTGAGGTCCCATCCCCTCGCCAAGCTCCGCCTTCCCCAATCTCCAGGCATTTCCCAATGCAGAGGTGGCAATCCCAGACTCACCTTTCCAAAGCAAAAGATCCGTGGTTAAAATACCCACGACTAGTCTTAGGAAGGCTCGGACGCTTGCCTCCAGTTCCCCTCCCTTTGCTGCTTCTCCAGCGGCAGAAGCTCCTCCGAGCCTCCATGCTCAGGCGCAGTATACCCGGATGGGAGCGAAAGGCCCGGTGGTCTCCACACACCGCCTGGGGCGGGCCAGGGTTGGACGCGACTGCAACGGCTGGGGGCCTGATCCTGAAGGCCGTCCTCGCCTCCTTCCAAGCCCCGTCGTCTGATTTCCTGGCTGGAGAAGGTCCGGGCAGCAGGCAGCCACCCCCATCCCCAGATCTGTTCCCGGCCGTGCCCCGATTTCCAAAACAAGGCCTGATGATCTTTGCGCCCCCCCCACGTGCCCACGTGCTAGGCCCAAGCAGAGCTGAGCATGTGCGAGACCTGGCGCGAAACTCGTGTGTGGGGGGGGACGACCTGTGGCCCGGCTTGTCCTGCTATGACCATTATCCACCACCGCCTTCTGTGAGCGGGAGACAGAGCCCGCCCCCAGCCACACACCTGCTCAGGTAAAGAGGGACAGACAGACCCCCCCTCCAAAAAAAGATGCCTGGCTCGGAATTCCTGCCGCTCCGCCCATTGGACGGCACAGCCCGCCCGCCGGCCTGCCGGCTTGCTTGCCTGCAGAGGCGAACGTGTGTCAGCACACTACCGCCGCCGCCGTTGCCACGCTTGGCCCCCGAAGCGTGACTCAGCGCCAGGGAACGGCAGCCACGTTCTTGGCCAGTGACATCAAAGTGCTGTGTCAGGCACGTCGCGGGGAGCCCCCCCGGGCCGTCCCAAAATGCCCGCGCCCGTCTCGTGACCCGGCCCACCTGTCTCCAGGTCTTCCCAGCCGGGTCTGAATCACTGACCACCTCGGACCACCCCCACCCCCGCCCCAAAATCACACTGCAAAGTGGAGGCTTCCTGCAGTTGTCCTCCGCCCGCCCCGCGGCTCGATCATTCATTCGTTCCTCCGTTCGTCGCTTCGTTCGCTCGCTCGCTCGTTCGTGCATCACTGCCAGGGTGAATCAGCGTTAAGCTCGAACAGAAATAGGTCTGCTCTTTGAAGTGGCCCTTGCGCCCCTTGAGGGGTGGCGTGGAGAAGCCCCCCCCCCGCCGCCCCCGGGCCCCCAGGGCCCCACGCAGGCTACGGATCTGTCCTTAACTCTGTATTTTCAGTTTCCCAAAGGTCGACTGTTGCTTCCCACAATTGTAATATATTCCTTTGGGCTTCAGAGTGTACATTCCTGCAAGGAAAGGATGCCCTAACAATGCAGTCCTAAACACAGTTAACCTTTCTAAACCTAGTAGCTTGGAGCCCATCTATAATTTTAGCAGATGGTAAGTCTTCCATTTGCAGATGTGTGACCTTCCTTGCTTTCCTCTTTCCATTGCAACCTGAAATGTTCTCCAAAATGCTGCTCCAGGGGAGATAGGGGAACTGTAGGAATATTGGGGGGGGGGATGAGATGCATGAGGCTGGAATTGGAAAAAGTCACCTCCCCAACTTGTCCAGGTGGAAGTTTTAGGCAGGATCCAAATTATTGATTTCAGTGGACTTAGAAGGGTATAACTCTGCTTGGGATTGCACTGTGCCTGCTTTTGGGTAGTACACTGTAAATAACTGTTCCATATAAGCATTCAACTTGGGGATGAAGGTGTCTTGAAAGGCTAATAAATGTGAAAATTCACCTGGGCTGTTCTGTTCATTGTTTTATTCAGGAATCAAATCAACCCCAATGCCCTGCCCCGAGAACAGCCACTATGAGATTTGTGGAAATGGTTGCCCGGCTACCTGTTCTGACCGGAAGGCTCCCCTCACATGTGAGGATACCTGTGCAGACATCTGCCAGTGCAACGAGGGCTACGTCCGAGATGGTGAGCAATGTGTCCCAGTGGACACCTGCAACTGCACCCACAACGGCATCAGCTACAGTCCAGGGGAGGAGTTCTGGGCGGATGAGGGCTGTCATTCTCGCTGCAAGTGTGACCCGAAGCTCGGCAAGGCGGTGTGCTTTAAGTCGTCCTGCAAGGCCGACCAGAAATGCACCGTGGTCAATGGAGTCCGGGGCTGTCGTACCTTCAGCCACTTAACTTGCATAGGAAGTGGAGATCCTCACTACACCTCCTTTGATGGAAAGAAATTTGATTTCATGGGAACCTGCATTTATCAGATGGCGGCTGTCTGCTCCAAAGACCCTGCCCTCACCCCATTTTTGGTCACGGTGCAGAATAACAACCGGGGCAGCAAAGCAGTGTCCTACACCAAAGTGGTGACTCTGGAGGTGTATGACATGACCATAAGCCTGAGCCAAGAATATCCACGCAAGATTCAGGTACAACAGCTGGGGTGTGAGAAAATTGGGTTTTTTTAAAAAAAAAATACTGTGATTGCATGCATGTAAGAGAGTTAACATTGGCTGATGATTATGTTTTCTGAAAATAAGAAGAGCCCTGCCTAGCATATTTGCTACTGTGTTTACAAATAATTTTTCTCTTACATGGAGATTGATCTTCATAGAGAAAAACAGTGTGTGTGTGTGTGTGTGCGTATCTTCGAATGAGCTTAACACCTTAGCTTCTGATGACACTCATTGGCTAGTCTGGAATATTCACAAATATTCCATCTTCTCAGTGAACAAAGATGAACTTTTATGGTTCATAAATGGGCTAGTCTACCAGCAGATGTCTAGAAATCAGTGGGGGGAAATGAAGAAAGGAGAAGTCATGGGTAATGCAAGTTGAGGACAAACCTTGCATAAGGCTTCGAGCCAGGAAAACTGTCCATTGGTAGATACAAAGAAGATAGGCAAAGGAGGTTTGTGGTACAATCCTACAGACAGATACACCCTTTTAAGCACTTAAGATTGTACTTAAGATTTTACTGTCCTTAAGATTTTACTGTCCAGTGCTCTGTCCACATTGGGCAGGTGCCCAAGCTAACAATCAATGTGCCAAAACATTTTTTTCTTGCCCCCATCATTTGGCCATGTTTGGCAAGTTAGTGATCAATATTAAAAATCCTTGTGTGTGTGTGTTTTGTCATCAATTCACAGCTCACTTATAGTGACTCCATAGGGTTTTCAACCCAAGAGATCTTAAGAGATGGTTTGCCATCGCTTTCCTCTAGCAACCTTAGACTTCCTTGGTTGTCTCCCATTCAAGTACTAACTAGGGCCGACCCTGCTTAGTATCCAAGATCTGATCAGGCTAGCCTGGGCTATCTAGGTCAGGGTGTTTTTTTTTTAATCCCCTAAAAGAAAAGAAAAACCCTTTGATAGTCTCTTTGGCTTGTCTCCTAGGTCAACGGAGTCTTTGTGGACCTGCCCTTCTCCTATGAAGATAAGCTGAAGGTCTACATCAGTGGAGTCCATGGCTTCATTGAAACAGACTTTGATCTGAGAGTCAGCTTTGACTGGTACAGCTATGCCAGGGTCATCATACCTAACACTTATGCCAATGCGATCTGTGGACTCTGCGGCAATGCCAATCAGGATCCCGGAGATGACTTCACCATGAAGGATGGAACTCAGACAGCCGATGAAATCCAATTTGCAGATAGCTGGAAAGTGAATGATGTTCCCGGGTGCTCAGCGGGATGTACCAGTAACTGCCAAGTGTGCGGGGAGGCAGAGAAAGAACCCTACAAGAGTAACAAGTACTGCGGGGTCCTCATTCGAAAAGATGGACCATTCAGGCAGTGCCATGAAGCCATTGACCCAACGTCCTGCTTTGATGACTGCATCTTTGACACCTGTCTGTACAAGGGTCACCATGACACTCTCTGTAGCGCTATCAGTGCCTATGCGACAGCTTGCCAAGCTCAGGGCATCCGGGTTGGGCAATGGAGATCGGCTTCCTTCTGCAGTAAGTGTTGCCTCCTAGGATGTCCTCACTAGAAATTAAGGTGAAAGAGATCCCAGTTTAATACCCTTTGTAAAAAAAAAAAAAGGTTGAGATGTATGTGACAAGGATTCCAGTTTATTTACTGTCAAATGTTTAGCCTGCCGTTCTGCAAACTATGAAGCCTTGTGGGCAGCTTACAACAAAGTTAAAAACATTGAAGTGGATCCAGACTAAAATTTCTGCTAGTGGAAGG